ACGTTTTAATTTCGATGTCGTCTCTTTGGAGCCGTTTTGGTTTTGTTTAAGACAAGAGTTATTTATTAGGTGTAATTATACGTAAATACCCTCCACGATGTAACTGTAATGACTATTTCTGTCAGAGTTTAGTTTCGAGGACCATTGATTAGGGTCCAATATTTGTTATATTATATATTGCAGAGTACTACTCTTTTCTATAATTATTTGCATAATCTATCCAGTACTTTACCAATTGATACAAAAGTTCCTTGAGATTACGTTTTAACAAACTGGGAATACTTTTTGATCGAATTAAACTTATAAATGTTTCATATCAAATATGAAACAGCAAAGATAATACTATGATATTATTAGGTAAACTAACATGTAATTTTTTTTTGTTAAAGCTAAGGTCTTTTATTACTCTTGACCTACTTATGTAAGATGTTATATGATGTATATTCCCAATTTTATAGTCCGGAACAGTGTTCTAAAAAGCGTTCTAGGCGTTCGTCTAGGTAGCGCTAAGCCCCTATAGACCGTGGCGATTACCGTTTTTAGCGCCTAAAATATTATTGTATTATAACAATAAAATAATATAAATTTTCTTATATACAAAATCATAAATTTTTTATATATTTGGCTATAAAATGATGAATATAAATACAATATAAATTTTATTAGTTATAAATTATGGTTTTTTATATATTTTATTATATATATCTAATATATTATGTATTTTTGAAAAACGCTTAGTTCGCCTATTAAATCGCCTAGATTCCGATTAGGCATTCTAGGCACTAGGCATTGGATCACCGCCTGTTTAGCGTCTAGCGCTTTTTTGAACATTGGTCCGGAACTAAAATGGTTATGTATTTGCAGATTCATAAACGGGCACATCAACAACTTATGATACGGTGTTATTTATCAAAATTACCATTCTATATTACATTGAGGTTTTTTTTTTCTTTTCTCAAATGTAATATTACATTTTGTTTGACATAATTAAGAAAATATTATATTGCTTTGCAAAGATATGTTGTGACATGTGCGCAAATAAATTCTAGTATTAAAGAGAAAAGGACGTGGATCTTATTATGACTTAGTTAAATGAGAGTGATGTATAACGAAATCAATTAATTAATTATAAAGAGACAGCGAAATGCAGATGATATGGCTCAAAGGTCATAGCTGTCCAAATTATTGCAAGTCCTCGTCGTCGTGTTAAACGTGTGATCTTGTTTTTTTTTGTTTTTGTCTGAAACCTAATCTTGTTCAGGCCATGTAATGCAAGCTCTGTTTAAAAGAACAAAAAAAATGATATGGAAAATAATAGTTTTGTACAATATATTTTAATTTGTCTCTTTCTGCAATAATGAGATTGTTTTTTTTTTTTTTTGCTAAATATAATGGGCTCGATTGGTAACGGTTGTAGAATTTAAGCTGTAAGTTTTTTTGCTGTGGTTGTAGAATTTAGAACTGTAGGATTTTGGCTGTAGGATTTTGATTGTGATATTTTAAAAATAAAATTACAATTTGCTAAATTAAACTTAATATATATATATTATAATTAATATTTTATGTCTACATTAAATGTTTTCATATTAATAAATGATAAAATAAAATATTTATAACATATAAAATTATATTCCATATTTTTATGTAAGATCATAAATATTTATTACATATTTACACAAAAATATATTATCAGTTAATATAAATAAAAGTTTATAACATGGTGCATATATAAAATAGGTATTAAAGTTTTATCTCTACCATATTATATATATATTATTAATTAAATAGATAGAAAAGCTTATAACATATGGTGCATATATATACAATATGTTCTGTTGTACACAGAAAGAAAAATCAAAGTAAGTGAAACTTATATGTATATCAGTATATATAGTAGCATAAAGTGGGAATAAAATTGTATGTAAAATAAATTGAAAGGAACAAAAAAAATGAAACGTGGAAAGAAAAAGAAAAAAAAAGGTCATAGCTCTTGAAATTGAGCTGTAGAATTTTTGCTCTGCACAGCACTAAACGAAAAAAGAAAATTTTGGTTGTGGGTTCTAAAAAATAGTCTAGAGCATGATTGGTTACTATTTGAGGTGCAGGTTTCATTTTTTTTGCTGTGTACAACTTCTACAGCATGTACCAATCACTCCCAATGAAATTGTTTTTTGGGAAATTTGGTTGTATAACACAAAAAAAAATTATATCTAAAATTCTAACCAAAACCTATATATGTGGTTAAATCTCACCCACTAGATCTAGGGTTTTGGTTAGGTTTTTAAATATAATTTTTTTGGTTATAATACAAATTCACCTTTGTTCTTTAATGAACGCAATAAATTTAAGTTTGTCTCAATATATTTACCAAAAATGACTTTTATGTTATAAGTTCTTTTGTTTGCGAAACACATTGTGATATGTTTTACTAAGGGTGTAAATGGTAACGGCCTAATCTGGCTGAATTGCAGAATCTGGCAAAATTTTTGGTGATTTTTTGCAGAATCTGGCAGAAAAACTGTGGGTGTAAATGGTAACAACCTAATTTGGCTGAATTACAGAATCTGACAGAATTTTCGATGATTTTTGCAGAATCTGGCAGAAAAACTATAAATTTAAATTGTAACAACTGAATGTTGCAGAATGTGGCAG